CAAGCAGTGCAACAAGAAGTTTTCAACGTCTAAAAATGAATGGAAGTGAATGAGACTGGAAGACTCTTACCAAAAAGATTAAAATGGCTGCACCTGCTCGTCGGCAAAGAATAAGGTGAATAGCTACCCAATCTGGCCGACACTCAATCACCAGGGCCAGACAGAATCTACGGACCTTTTTTTTTGTGGAGGATGTTGTAAAAAAATAAAATAAAATAAAAATCTGTGGATTTTTGCGGAATGGTTTTAGGTGTATCGTAACTAAACTTAAATGTTAAAAAAAGTTATACATTTTTACATTTTTTTTTCAGGTTTACCATGCTAATCCTTTTAGATCCATTTATTTGGTAAATAAAGCAAGTCGTCTGTCCGTCCGTCCGTCTGTCTATCCGTATATACAGACAGATAGATATACATACAGATAGATATACAGATGTATATCTGTCTGTCTGTCCGTCTACTAAAAGACAGAAATGATTATTTTTCAAACTGTATTGTAAGTAAATTGTATGAACGTTTTCATATTAGTTAGTAATATTACAAGCATTAATAAACTGAATAAATAAAAATTTACACACATCTGCACAACTAAATAAATTGACTCGATGGGCTGAAAATCTGCGGATTTCTGAGTGTACAGATTTCTTGTGGGCCAAGCAGCTGTAGATGTTTACAGCTAATTCTCCTAATTAAATTCACAAAGCAGGGAAAGAAAACTAAAGCACATCACTTTACATAATCCTCTATTAATACAAAAAAACTATTTACAGAAGTAACCGGGTCATTAGAAAAAACCTTAGGGTTTAACCCTGCATAAGTCTAAAAGTTCTTTCATGATGGTAAAAGGGTCTTAAAGTCTTACATTTGACTTGAAAAAACCCGCAGAAGCCCTGCTTTAAGCCAGAATAAATGATTCCCATTTAACATTTTCAATATTCTTTTAGGTGTCAGCTAAAATTGGTTCATTGTTTTTGCACATTTACAGTGTTTAAAAAAAATGGTGTCAAACGTTGTGTCAACCATAAGGGAGTCAATGAGTCAATTAAATAATTCAAATTAAATGATTTAAATAAATAAAAATGAATCGTGCGAAAAGGCAATTTTTTTATTTAACCCACAATTTATAATTACTTTGAGAGATTTTGTTTTTATGAAAAACAACACGGTGAGATTTTTGTGGTCTTATACATTTTTAATTTGACTTCAACTAAAAACACCTAAAAGTAAAAAAAATGGGATTTGTTTTGGGAATAGATTACTTGTGCTTGTATTACTAGAGATTAGAAAATAATGGCCTGAAAACACTTCAAGGAAATGTGAAGTATGAGCTGGTGTGACTGTTGGGAAAAAAATCAAGGCAATGATAAGTTTATTTTTGAACTTGTACGAGGAACAAAATAATATATGAGCATGGCAAAAGTGTAAAAATATAAGTGCTTTTATAATGTAGCATAAAAGAACTGAAGTATATTAATGTTTTGGTATGGCATGATGTTTATTTTAAAATATCTTTTGTTAAAAATGTCTTAGGAAATTCCTTGTTTTTAAATCAATTATGGAATAATTATTTTGGAAAAACAACATCTTATGCTTTCTTTGAATGGTAACTTACTATATAAAGAAATTCATACTGAAAGATCCAACACTGATCTACTGTCACCTAGTGAATAGTCGAAAAACAGTTCTTTAGCCCACAGAGCAACTGCTGCAGGATGAATAGGAAACCAAGGAAATCCAATCTTAGGGCTTTTGGAGCACACTTATGATAAGACGTGACTCTCGAAGCCCAGGTTGCTGTTGGAGTCTGGCACGTGTTTGTGAGTTGCTGTCTTAAGAGTCCCTTTTCGGAGACCGTTAAACCACAGGGGGCCAAAAACTTCATTCATCACATATCAAGACTGTGCGAGTCCTGTTCCTGTCACATCACCATGTCTGTTTCTCATCCCATGTTTCTTTTTCAGAGCTACTGAAGGTCTGTGTGCTTGTCTGATTGACTGATAGTGTTTTTTTTTTATCTTGAGTGTGATGTAGTCAAATGACAGTAGGTCCTATAGGCTTCTGTCCTGTGCTGCATGTTTAAATGTTGATATCCGATGTGAAATCCAACCCCAGAATGAAACGTCTTTTTTATAACGTTAATTGCTTTGTCAGTCTCATAAAACACTGCATGATGACCGGGGAAGCGATTATGTACTGTAACTAGAGCTGGGCGATGTAGTAGAGTTTTTATCTTTAGTTTTTTGATGATATTAAATGTTAGGCTGTAAAATTGCTCATTTAAAAATGTACTGGAAATCTAATTTCAGATCCATTCAAATTTTCTAACTGGTTTATTTGATTTTTCTAATTGACATGATTTGTCGTGAGACTGTTCGGTCAAAAATAAATAAATAAATAAAATAAAAATCATTTTGATTGACCCAAAAGTTTTCAAATAACAATTTATTTGTTTAAGAGCTTGCCAGATTGGACACTACATTTCATCAGCTACTGTTTTAAGACAAAACGTTAAGTTTTTGACATTGAGCCAAGGTTACGGCACTTTTTAAAAAAAAAAGTTGTATCTTTTGTACATTCCAAAAATAATAAAAAAAAATTAAAAGATGAATCTGACTACTAAAAAAAAATCACATTTGTTTTTTCAGCCGTTTTGAGTATGATCGTCTTAATAATTAAAGATATTAAAATACTGAAACCCTAGTAATTGCGTTATACAAATCTGAAGTATTTCTTTAATCACAAGATCAATGTTTTAGAGCCCCATTTACACTGGGTATTAACATGCATTTTGGTTTTTAATTGGTCTATTTTGTCCACTTAAAGCTAGTGTGTGGACTGGTGTTTGTATGAGCTGTTTCCGGTCCTTTGATGTGATATTGCACAATTTTAATTTAAAAAAGAGAAAACCGTGGCAATGTGTTGCAATAATGGGGTCCGTTCTTCGTTCCTTGCTTAATTGATTTGTCAGATCTGGGATCTTTAATCTGTATAACTGATACTAACTAAATCTGGCTAATTTGGTTCTTCAAACAAGTTCGCGAATCAGGTTAAAATATCTGAATGGACTGATCTGAGATCGCTTTGTGTGTTGTGGACTGATCTATCAATCTCTGAAATCATGATTCGCAATGCAATAATTAGCTGACAGCACAGCAGCATAATGACATCATCTGATTAATATTAATCTATCTACGGGAGCAGAATGACATAATTCATAGTAGTAATCGATTTGTTAAATATGATATGCTATAACTTTCCATATTTGTTGTGGGATGCAGGATGTGTGGGATGCAGGAATGTGTCAAGAGTGTTTAGCAATTTATTTAGTGTTACTTTTTACAACAAAACGGATTATTTATTTTTCTGTATGTGCTACTTAATTATACTACTAATGCTGGATTGGTACACATTAACATAGTATGTGTTTGTATTTAAAGTCCATATTGATGTTCTCTTTTAACCATTTGGGGATAGAACACCCCTGAGACAAGTTTTTGTACTTACTTCGCAGTGCAGATTGCATGAATTTTATTTACATATATATATATATATATATATATATATATATATATATATATATATATATATATATATATATATATATATATATATATATAATTATAATAATATAATTGTAAAAACCATTTTACTATTTTCCCAAGTGTATATATCCAATATGATATTACTGTAAAGAAATAAATGATAATAGCATAATAACAGCATTTAGTACATACTTTCAGTATTACCTTTGCTTAAAAAGACCCAATCTAATACTGTTTGTATGAAATAACCCTTCTCCCGAGCAGGTTTGATCTACCAGACCTGTTGCTATGACAACAACTCTCGATTTGAAGAACAAATTGTCAATAACCAAATCCAGCTAATTGATTTTTATTTTGACTTAAATTGGTCCTTGTCCTCAATGCACAGGACAGTGATGATATCAGAAAACTACCATTCATAATTCTAAAGGTTAATTACGCCGGACACATGCTTTCGCTCATGGACTACATAATCTACAAATAAATAATTTTCACTGGAAAAATCCAACATTTGTCATTCTCATATTCCCTATGGCTCACATTTTAATGTATAAGCTAGAGTGGTTATTTATTGCATTTAGAACGGCAATCCAGCAGTGCAGTTTTGTTTCATGATTTCTTAATATTATGTATTATTGCACCCCTAGTGTTTAGTGTTGTCCACTTGTGATCGGAAAGACAAAAATTAATACTTTAATACCAAGTTTAAGTAGGCCTAAGACTGGTGTTTCAATTAGAGCATGAATCAAATTGGATTAAAAATGATATGGTACATCTCATGTAAAATTTGGACATTTTTATATTTGGAAAGTTGAGCAATAAATGCAATCATTCTGATCAGTTAGTCTTTACTACCAGTTACAGCAGCAAACAAATATGAATGAACATGTAAATTGATCAATCAGGGTTTCAACAGTTGAATCAAATGTCCTGCTGTAATCTATTAATATTCAATCTTCATTTAAAACCAGTTCCGTTTTTGTACTGTTACATCTGAGTAAACAACTTGCAGTTAAGCTAAATAGAGGGATGTTTTCCTTTTAAATGAACACAGTGGAGATGGAAATCATCCAGGTACATTTCACTTATGAAATGAATCCAACTGACATGTTGAACTGGCTTATTTTTATTGTGAATATTCAAAATATCGCCCAGCTCTAACTGTAATTTGAAATACATTTGTCAGTTTCTCTTCGGTTTTCTCATCTCACTGTTATATGTGAATTTTCCATTAGAGTGGCTTCTTTTATTCGAGGTGGGCCGTGTTGTTTGCTGGCTGCAGGCAACCTGCGCGAAACATCTCAAATAAAAGAAACAATGCCCTTCAAATTTTCCCTCATGGTACTTCATCTTGGTATTTTTGAATGAATCATGCCCCATGTTTATCATTTTTTGTTTCTTTGTGTTCTTGTTTTTTCTTTTTTTCTTTGTTTTTGTTATTTTACTTTCTGTGCACAGCAATTGCTCTGAAATTTGGGGACTGAGTACACCAAATACGATAGAACAGTGGGATACCTCAGGCCTTTACAGCTACCCTGACCAAACCAGGTGAATATCCTCTCCTGACATTGTGCCACACTCACCCCACGAGCCACAGGTGGGGGATGAACGAGCACAGGGGGCTCCAGAGGCCGTCAAATCAACATTTTTGTAACGCGCTTTGTTATACTTGATTTAGATTTAAATCACTTGTGTTACTGTAGAGTTTTAACTCTGAATGTTATGATAGATTTAAAGCAGATTCGAAACATGTTTTCATAATTCATACATTCACTTCGCTAAACCAAGAAGTTTAAAATGCTGGTTCTCCCCTGGTTTTACTTTCAAGTAGTGATGTAACAAGTTGCCAAATGTCTGCTCAATTTATGCACCTTCAAAAGTTTGGGGTCAGTAAGTTTGTTGTTATTAAAGTTGTTATTTATAATTTAGAAGACCATGTTATCAGCAAGGATGCAAGAAATTGCTAAAAGTGAGGGTCATATATTATGTTTGCAGAATCTTTTTTTTTTTTTTTTATTAAATGTGTTTTTAATCTAAATCAAGAGCAATACTATTTATATTGAGTGGGGTACTGCTATGGGTTATAAAATAATAAAGAAACACTTAACTTTTTTGGTAATAGTCCCCTAGCTTTTAAACGGTTGAGTTTTACCATTTTTGTTTTATCTATTCAGCTGATCTCATGGTCTGGCGAGAACACTTTTAGCTTAGCATAGTTTATTGAATCTGTTTAGACCATTAGCTCTCAGCTTGAATATTTTTTCCCATTTAAAGCTTTACTTTGCTGTAGTTACATTGTAATACTGACATAAATAGAAAAATAATAATGAGAGTATAATTCCTTGCCATATTGTCCTAGCATACTTAAAATTGTAAAACTTTCATTTTTTTGTCAATCATAGTGCACTATTTAACTACAGAGTCGAGCTTTAAATGGGAAAATTTTCTAAACTTTTTTTTTTTTTTTTTTTTTTTTTTTTTAAAGGGACGCTCTGATCAGTATTTTTGCAGCCAATACGGAGTCCTTATCATGGTGATTGGACTATACTGGAGACCGATTCTGATGCTTCAATCTTTATAATGCATTACGCACATTTTCCCTCCATATATGAACCTTAACGAAAGATCTTGCCTTGCCCAAGAGAACAAACTAAGGATGCTGCATATAATACCTTAAAAGCATCTCTTATAACTATTTAGATGTGAATCTGTCATGGCCAGAAGAAGCTTTTATAAAAAACAAATTATTTATTGATTTTTACTTCAGCTTAGGCTATATATATAATATTTGCGTAGTGCTTTTAAACTCATAAACAACACTTGCGATCGATCCATGAGATTGGTGAGTACCGATCAAGTCATGAAATGTGATTATTAGCCAATGCCGATCAATTGGAGCATCCCTACTTTTTTATTTATTTTGAGCGAGATGCTAATGGTCAGATCTGATTTAATGATTCATGCTAAGCTTATCTAAAAGATCATGAGATCAACTTGAATGGGTTTTAAAATGGTGAAACTCAACTTTTTAATTTCAGGGGACTAGTGCACTTTATATTTTTTTTTATAAATGATTTAAAAGTAAGTTATATAATTTTGTTCATGTTTTGCAATATTCTATGTATTTTACTCTCTCTCTCTGTATTTTTTTTTAAACAAATGAAGCCATCTCTAGAGACTTGTATTAAAGACAGACTTCAGACTTTTGAGAAGTAGCTAGTTAATTGCTATTTATAAATGCACTGTTATGCCATCAGAATTAGGATTAATTTATTTCTCAAATTTTTGACTGTCAAATCAAAAGTGTCATTGAATTTACCAATCTACCAGTTGAGAACCAGCGCTTTAAATATTAGTACTCTGTAATCGTAGCTAAACATTACGATGTTTTAATCATAATGGATATCTTGCATCTGTAGGTCATGACTTGCTGTCTAATCTCACCGTTATCCCTCTTCCCTCCATCCATGCATGTCTTTCTCTGGTCATTTGGCACGCTCCCTCTCTCTTCCATTTCTCTTGCCCTCTCTCTGTGGACGCTTGGGTCAGATCTCTGGACGGGCGTTTGCAAGTGTCTCACCGTAAAGGTCTGCCTCATGTCATCTACTGCCGCCTGTGGCGATGGCCCGACCTGCACAGCCATCACGAGCTGCGCGCCATCGAGACCTGCGAGTATGCTTTCAACCTCAAGAAGGATGAAGTCTGCGTCAATCCCTACCACTACCAGCGGGTGGAGACACCAGGTATGGAAATTGCCATAAAAGTAGGGCTGAGTGTGGCTATTGAAGAAAAATTTGATAAGTGAAAGCATGCTTCCAGCCATAGTCACTGTGGTGTGTAAAGCGGTTTTTACATATCGCGAAACTCTCGTGGCTTACCGCGGTACTCTCACGCCCCTGCTGCCCATTATTGAGGTTGACGTCACTTGTCTCTAACTAATTGAACCAATTTAAACACATCTTTATTATCACATTTGATTGAATTGTTTTAGTAATGATGAGGTTTTGTTCTAAATATTATATTCTAAAGTTAGTATTTTAGTGCATGTCATGTGACTTGAGTGAGCATCACACTCGTTACTACTGGACGCAGGAAGGCTGCTTCACATATTACTGATATTACAAATCCCCCAGACACATTTAAGTCATCTATGTGGAAAAATTTTGGTTTTCCAGTGTAGTACAGGAATAGAATTCGTGTCGTAGACAAAGCGCACGCCTGTCTGTCTTAACTGTTTCAAGAAACTTACTTGTAAGGAAAAACATTTAAAAAGTTTGGTAATTTCACAATGTGAGGGTGTAAGCAACAGAACTGCCAACAAAAGTGATTTACTGTACAAAAGTGAAACCAGAATAATGCCCAAATAAACAAAAAAAGATGAATATTTACACTAATAAAAATAATATAATAAAGTAGCAAATTCAAACAAAAGTATCAAACAAAAATTAGTTAAACTTGAGCAAGGGGATGATAGTGAAGACAAACAAAAGAAATAAATATAACAAAACAATTCTAACTCATGAATAACCCCTTACCTAGCTAAAAAACTGATGAAAAAAAAAAAGTATTTCGCGCCGTGCGCTGCATTCTTCCCTATACTGAATAAAATAAACAAAGATGACCTTCACCTCTTACCTGATTTCTTTAACAATACATTTTCTATGCGTTTGCAAAATGGAAAACTAATGACATTTTCCCTATCCACCTTACACTAAGACTGAACTTGAAGAGATACAGCTATATTGTCGGGAAGGAGCGGAGCCAAAAAATAATATACAAATCAATTGAAATAAAAATGTACAAACCTCACAAAATTTCTTAAAGTGGGCAAAAGTAATGCAAAATAATTTTGCCCAAACGAAAGTTAAGCAAAAACAACGAAAATCATAATCCTGTCAGAAAAATACACGAAAAAAGAGATCAAAGGAAAAAGCGCTCTCTCCCGCTTTTCCTGACATGCTTTTTACTTTCCTGCGCTGCGTCGCCAAATGATGATAGATCGGTCTCCTGACCAATCAGCTGTCAAAAAGGCGGACCTACAGAAATGACAGGCATCAGCTGTCGTAAAGGCGGACCTACAGTACATAAATGACCGGCATAGAGGAAGTGGGAGAGAGAGCGATCGGGAGGCAAACATACAGCCGGCTACAACCCTAATATTAGTTTCAGACACAACTGCAATGTATTTTACTGGTGAATATGTCATGTAAAAACACTTTACAAACACATATGTATATTTTTCATTAGATTAAACAGAAACCTATCTATATAACTGAAACCATAGATAATCAAAAATGAGCGTCTGTGTCTGCACAGCGATCAAGCCTCTCATCGGAGAATGTGGATATTATGGTGTTTTTGAAGAAGATCTTTCACTAGTCTACACTGCAGCTATTTATTTAATTTTAGTTTACTTAGTTAAGATGGCTGCACTAAAGAGAATAGTTTTTTTTTTCTGACTAGGCTATATTGGAGGTATTTTTTTAGTTTTAGTTGTTTACTCTGTCATCACATTTTTAGTACAGTCAGGATACCAAAGTTAATAAAGAAAAAGTAAAGATGTTCTTGTTATTAAGTGAATTGTCCCTCAGCATTGCTGTTAACATGACATCAACCCTAACCCCACAGCAAACAGAAACCGAACCGTATCGAACTGAACCGTGGCTCCAAAACTGTGAACCGAATGGAACCGTGCCTTTGGTGTATCGTTACACCCCTATGATCTACACATGATCGCTGTACAAGCTGTCCAATGAAAAATCTGGCTGACATGAAGTTTCATTCTTGCTGTATCCAATATAGAGCAACTGCGCCGTCATAGCAATGCTGGTAAAATGGTGCCTCTTGTTTCGTTATTTGTCAATAAAATGTCTTTTTTTTTAAATCAGGTTAGTCTAATAATATAATGTAATAGTTATTCAGTTAAATTAAAAATCTTACCACATTATAATGCATAATAAAATAATAAATACAAATCATTTTTGTTTTTGAGTTGCGTCTAAGCGCATCCAAAATTAATTTAAAATTTATTTTTCAGAATTTTCATTTAGGTGCTTTTTCTAGGAAAAACAGTTTGGAGGAATAAATCTCTTTAATCTTCTCTCCTGTAGTTCTTCCTCCTGTTCTCGTGCCAAGACACACGGAGATCCTGACTGAGTTGCCACCTTTGGACGACTACACCAACTCCATACCTGAAAACACCAACTTCCCAACAGGGATCGAGCCCCCCAACAATTACATACCAGGTAGGAGCACAAGATTTCTCAGAAATTCTACTAAATAGCCTTTTTCACACTCGCAGACTTTTTCTGGGAAATTGCCGTCAATTTTCCGGAAAGGGTTCATGTGTGAAAAGGCCCTTTTTGAAAGTACTGGTAACTTTGTTCTGCCAAATCTCCGGAAAGAAGTTGTAACATTACCGGTAATTTTCCTGAACTGCTCTGTATGAATGCAACAGGAAAATTGCCAGAATGAGCATGTTCATGTTGAGAACACGCTGTGAGACTCCTACTTCAGCCAATTAGAACACTCAGACACATGTACATTTGTGCAGTTTATCAAAATAAAAGCCTTTGCATTCTTTTCCCAACACATTTAGCTGCTTGTTGTTAGTCAGATAATGTTTCTATGTTCATTATTAATGCCAACTGCGGAATAATTTATCGACTAAATGCTTATGATAAACTGTTTTATGTGAAGTAGGGCTCCGGTGAGTGCTAGCACACAAACAAATGTACATCTCGACATGCGAAAGTGTTCCTCCCACATGCTTGCATCAAATTGTTCTGAATATGCATCCATCCACAGAATTTACAGTGTTGTCAAATGTGTAAACATTTAGCTACAGTTCTACCTTTGGATGTCTCTGGGACAAAGCAGCTGCATGAATGCTAAAGCTTTTTCAATAAAAGTGAAACCATCAACAAAAGTCTGACCCCTTTTATGTTTACAAATACAAGCGCAGCTGTTTAGAGGTCATTTTTGGTAAATAATGTGAGAATTTACCAGTGTTTTGGAATGGATGTGTAAACGGTTTGTCTTGTAAAAAATTCAGAATGTCTTTGCCTGTGTGAACAGCTTTTTAAAAAAAAAAAATTACCAGTAAAGTCGTTCTGGAAATTTTACAGATATTTAGCGGTATCGCTGTGTTTAGGGCCTAATACACATGTCTCGTCCAAAAATGTCAAATGTGGATTATTGGGTGTGTTTAAGAATAAATAGTTTTTTGAATGCATTTTTAAAACTTTGTCAAACGACAGTTTGATCATTCGACATGGCTTGCAAATTCAAATGAATCCGAATAATTACATGTTTTTGGTATCTGCTCAAGCCTCAGTGACAGTGATTGTTCACCCAAAAGGTTGTTTATTCACCATTCAACCAGTTTGAGATTCATCCTTCTGTTTAACACAAAAGAAATTACAAAAATGTTGGAAACACATTGCCATTGACTCCCATAGTGTTTGTTTCTACTACTATGGAAGTCAGTAATTACCGGTTTCCAACTGTCTTAAACATTTGTTTTGTTTAACAGAGGAAAGAAACTCCATAAATGTTTGGAATCACTTGTGCGCGAGTAAATTCAGTTTTGTGTGAACTATACCTTTGTTTAGGGGCGTATTGTCTTACGAATGAGATTTTATACAGAAATAATTATAGACTATTTTTTTACAGATTGGCTTTTAACTGAATGAAACAAAAGGGTTTTGCTTCCCAATGCAATAAGGGTGGCATTTTCTGCACTTCTAGCATCACATTCTTTTCAGTTTGCCCTTATGCACACCATGGTGTTCTTAAAATTATTTTTACTCCCTGCATTTTATTTTACACGAGGCTTGACAGTAAAGCACTAACTGATGTGTCAAATTGTGAAATTTCCACATTTGAATCGAAATGCAACTCATTAATTCTGCATACTTTGAGAAGAATGTGATCAGAAAGTATTGACTGATTTGAACACATTGCTTTTAGTGTTTGTATTGTTACTGTAAGCTCAGTGAATGGCATGACTATTATATTTCACACCTATTTGTAAGTTTTTAATTTGTTTTTGATCTGTGAATGTGTCCAGAAACTCCTCCACCGGGATACATCAGTGAGGATGGGGAGGCCAGTGACCAGCAAATGAATCAAAGTATGGACACAGGTACATTCCCACAGTGACATCACCACATGGGAATGACAGCCGCTTGTGTTTGTTTCAGGCAGTAAATGTGCTTTTACTGCAGTAGTGTCCTTTCTATGCTCCTTCTAGACTTTTCTTTCAATGTTCTTCTGTTAATTCTTTAACGTGGGATGAATGTATAAGTGGTGTTTTCTGTATACTGGAATACACTTGGGGTGTAACGGTACATGTGAAGAGAACCTCCTAAATGCTTTCTGAAATTTTCTTCTAAAATTTGCATTTTTATCAGGCTCACTAATATCACTTTTACGGCAAAGAGTAAGTTCTTTTTTCTTGATCTTTAAAGTGAAATAACTCAACATAAACAAGAGGCTGAGACAATTTTTCGAAGAAAATTTCAGACGGCACTTAGAGGTTTTTAAGTTTTAACTGTTCATATTTATCCCAAATCATCATAGTACATGGGTTTCTGTTCGGTTCATGCATTCCAATGACAAAAACAGCCAGTCCAGATTTGCCATGAACTGGGCGAAAAGACCACAGAAAAAGCTGAACAGTATTGGCTGCTTGTGTGCTGATGACATCACTGACAGTGTTTCAAGCTTTCAAGGGAATGTTTGAAACCGTGTCACTTATCTGCAAATTTCAAGATGTGGCTTTAACACCTAGACCCGCTGAGGCAGTCAGAATTTTTAATTTTTGTAATTTAGTAACTTTTTGAAATGAAACTGACATATCTATAACACCCTGACATTTCCTAAATGTCTGTGTATTTCTTTCTTACATTATTTTTTTAAATTACAAAATAGTAAAGAACTGAGCAGTTCTACCTTTAAATACCGTATCGGTCAAAATGACTGCATGCATGTCTGCTTTTTGCAGTGACCCTTAATATGCATGCCTTTTTTGCCTAGCAACTTCCTGCTAACATAAACATAAATTTATGATAGCAAAAACACAAATTTTCTTTTTTCCCCAATTTCTGTTTAACTGAGAGAAGACTTTCAACACATTCTTAAACTCAATAGTTTTAATAACTCATCTCTAATAACTGATTTATTTTATCTTTGCCATGATGACAGTAAATAATATTTTACTAGATATTTTTCATGCAACTTCTGAGAAAAAATAAATAAATAAAAATTATTTATATATATATATATATAAATAAATAAATAAAAATTATTTATATATATATATATAAAATAACAAAGGGGCTAATAATACTGGCCCTAAAATGTTTTTTAAAAATTAAAAACTGCTTTTATTCTAGCCAAAATAAAACAAATAAGACTTTCTCCAGAAGAACTGTGGAAAAACTGTGAAAACTTCCTTGCTCTGTTAAACATCATTTGGTAAATATTTTAAAAAGAAAAAAAAATCAAAGGGGGTCTAATAATTCTGACTTCCACTCCATCTTTCAAAACAGCATATTCTGTGTCACTAAATAGCTCCTGTTTGAAGGTGAAAATGTTAGCAAAGTCCAGACATTTGTGGGCTTTCTACTGTTTTAACTACATATTTATAGGTTGTATTATCAAAAAGATAATATTTTAGCTTTAGCTATTTAAGCTTTTCACTCATTGCACACATGCTGCTGATGATGTGACATTAAAAGTGATTTGATTTTTAATGGTGTCAAAGTAAGATGACACGCATTCAAAGCTTAATTTTAATATCTTAATTGAAGCTTTGAATGTAAATTTGACGTAACAATTTATATATATGTCTTATATGAGAACGGAATGAATGCTATAGTAATAATAATGCTAATTCTAGTTCCACTGTTAATATAGCCTACTTTTGTGTCCGTGTTAATGCAGAATGAAGTGCATCGATGCCCATTTTAGCCGATCACAGATGTTTCTGTTAAGCTACTGAGCACAACGGCCATTCAGCTCATGCTCATACTCTCTCATTGGCTGCAGCTCGTCACTACATCTGACTGTACGTGGGTTCAAGTCGGCCGACTGCTCTGGAATATTCAGCATGCTGGATTTTAAATTTCCATCTGCGAGGTGTTGGTGGGTTCAAGTCGGCCGACTGCTCTGGAATATTCAGCATGCTGGATTTTAAATTTCCATCTGCGAGGTGTTGGTGACGCGTCAACAAGCCTCTGTTGCGTTGTTCAGCAATTTACACATAAAAACTGCTAAGCGCCAACGGTGCAATAGCCTAGTGTTTAGTGTGTTGACATGGTGCAATAGCACTTCTGGGTCTCCCGAGTTCGAATCTTTGCTCGAGGACATTTCCCATCCCTACCCTCTCTCTCTCTCTCTCTCTCTCTCTCTCTCTCTCTCTCTCTCTCTCCCACTTTGCTTCCTGTCTAAATCTACTTGATAGAGGCAAAAAGGCCAAAAATAAATATTTATTTATTTAACTGCGAGCTCGTTAACTTTCAAATCGGGCTCAAATCAGGCTTAATCCTGTAGTGTGAACTAGGCTTTAGCAGTCATTCATGAAGAACCCATCTTTGCATCTGAAAACATGAGACGCAGCAGTCTGAAAAAGTTTTGCCATGTTGCTGTGGCATGCCAACTTCTGGAAACAGAAGCTTTGCAATGCTCCACTTCATTGGACACTACGTGTACAATTTCAAACTGTTTTATCTTTAAACGCCATCTAAAAAAAAGTGTGAGACACTGAAAAAGACACGAGTGTATAATAGTCATGCATGTCTGTCAGCTGCGTTTAAATAAAAACTGTGTAAATATAAGATTCTCTGTCATCTTGTTTTCAAGGGCCGCTTGCACCAGCAGTGCGCAAGTTAAAACGTAGTCTAGTTGTGACCTAAAGGGACTCCAAGTTACAATTTACGCACTACTAAATATTTTTGTGTTGCACCACTGAATCTATTTTAAACGTAACACTGCATTCCAACTAAATATTTACAGCAGCCTCCCCCCCTGAATAATGGTAGAAAAGACATAAAGGCAAGATTAGTTTACTTAGAGGACCTCGCGATGATAATAAAAAATGATCTTCTATATACAACCTTCATATCCTCCCTAATCTCGCATTTGTTTCATTTTGTGAAAGAAGAGCTTAATTTTCTTTTAATGAGTGTTTTGTGTTAATTGTATCCATCAATTAAAACGAGAATTTCTTTATGATGGAGTTATTTTCCCTGCTCTTTTCTCTTTCATGTGTTCAAGTTTAATGTTTTGATAACTTCATGTCTATTTTGAGTGCATTAACGGCTTGCGATGCAGGTATGTGCGTCATCTGTTATTAGTGACGGACTAATGTAATGCACTAAAAATGTAATTCATCATTTAATTTTCATAGAACAATTATATTTAGATGCATTAGGAGCACAATTTTAAAGCAGTTTAATTATTTAAATGCTTCTTATTGGATATTACATCATTCAATGCGACTATGCATGACTTTACGAAGAGCTTACGACCTACTAACTCCGGTTTGCCCCAAAAACATGTAGTGCAACTTAAGAGAGAACAAATTTATTTACAAACAAGCTAGTAGTTCGTAAGCCCTTAGTGTTCCACATTCCAGTTTAAGAAAGAACTTGCTTACAGCAACCCTACCTAGGTCAGTTGTTGTCCACTGCACCCGCTGTGATGGATGGACATCTAGCTAGCATTTTCATTGGAATATTTCAGTTTTGAATCTTACTGGATGTTAAATTAAATACACAATTGTTTTTCAAGGACCAGTGGGGGCCAAGTTGGAGCACTCACTCTGGTCCCCTGGGCACTGCGCTGGTTGGGGAAAAATAATCCATTACAATTGGCTTAAAATTGAGGAGACAAATTCAGGACATTGCAACCTGCAGATCCAGGGAACTTAAAACAACAACAACAACAAAAAACAATTGTTATTTAGGTGAGGACTAAGCCTACATTTTTGAAAGTTTAGTCTCTTAATTATAAAGTTTCATTTCCCATTATTGTTTATTTAGTTCTTTTGTATTACAAAGCTTTTCTGTTATGAAGCTGATTGTAACAAAACACTTCTGCCTGTTCAGTAGAAGCAGAAAAAAGCAAGCACTGGGTATTTGTTGCTCATTTTGTGCTGAACCTATATAGAACAGTGACCCAAAAATCGAGGTACATACCGAACCAGGACTTTAGTGTACTGTTACACCCCTAAATACAATATATGATGTTTAAACTTATGATGACTCTGAAGATTTACATGTGCAAGCACCAAAAATAAAATGTTTTTTTTTTTGCCTTTACATTTGTTAAAGTAAAAAAAACTTATCTTTGTCAGGTTCTCCTGCAGAACTGTCACCAAGCACACTCTCGCCTGTCAATCATGGCATGGGTAAGACCTATCTAACTGCTTAACCCTATGGACCCTTTTCACAAGCCTGTTATGATGCATTCAACAGCAGAATCTGAAATCCTTTTAAAGTTTTAAATATTTTCTTTTTTTTTTTTTTTTACGTATGAGCATTTATGTATGTAATATCATCTTTGCTTTAAGTTACAAAAAAACTAATTGTTCGAGGTGTTTCTAATGCAGCGTCTATGGGACAGGACAGCCAATTTGATGTTATTCTCTCCTCTGGCTCCCATCATCAGTCCCATGCTATTTTTTTCTTTTTTTTCTAAACATCTTTATGACATTGTGGAGTTTTTGCTTATATTGTTTGAGCAAGTAAGATGATAAAAAATGATTTGTTGTAATCCCCCATTTACTGCGCTCTTAAGTTTTCCCAACTTCTGCTACTGACAAACCCGGAAATGTGAAAAGGGTCTAAAAGGGTTTAATGCTCAAAGTCAATAATAATGGCTATCCACTGTTGAAATGAGTGTGTGATCCCATTTTCTCATTGGCTTTTTTTCCAGACCTGCAGCCAGTGACTTACTCAGAGCCTGCGTTTTGGTGCTCCATAGCTTACTATGAACTTAACCAGCGGGTTGGAGAAACATTCCACGCCTCTCAGCCTTCCCTCACCGTGGACGGCTTCACAGACCCCTCCAATTCAGAGCGATTCTGCCTGGGCTTGCTGTCCAACGTCAACCGCAACGCCACCGTCGAGATGACCCGAAGACATATAGGTATCAAGACCTCTTCTGCTCCTCCCTGCTCTTCAGCTTTCAAAGGGATGCTCAAGCAGAAATGAAAATTGTCCATCTGATATTAAGGGATTTTTTTTTCCTCCAGATTTTTTAGCTGAAACTATGGTCCTTGTTCGTGTCAAGTCATTAGCATCAGATTGAGAACATATACAGGCATAACAAAATGTATCTTGATGCATCAAGGGCTTATGAATTTAAACAATAGGTCTGGGCTAAAAAACGTTATTTACAGCAATATTATCTTTAATCTACAGTCTCCCCAAATGTGTGCTTAAGACAGTCGCGGGCACAAGATTCCTGAGAGATAATGACATAAACAAAACGCTCTGAATCTGAGAAGAGATTTTAAAACCGTTGTTCTTTCTTCAGTGTTGTGAACACGCCCAAACCATTTCCTGAGGCGGTAGATTAAAGGTAATGATGTTGTCTTTTCTTGCTCGGGCTACTAGTTTGGCTTCAAAAGGCCTCATTGAGTTGTCAGACTGTACACATGTGATGACAGACACACAATAAGGTGAAGTATAATTTGGGTTTTAAGCACTGGTGTCAAACTCAGTTCCTGGAGGGCCACAGTTTAGCTTTAACCCTAATTAAACATACCAAATTGAGTTATTCAAGCTTGGTGATCTCTGTCCTGCGAAATCGCATCACTTGACTGCTTGAAGGAGCAAAACATGACCTCTCTGGACAGAAATTTAAAGTACGGAGTAATCCCTTGCTTTTTTTAATGTCTAATAATCTTGTTTAATCCCGCCCCTTTTCGCAGCGCCATAAGACAGAATTTCGCACACAAACTGTAGTGTGACCGCAGCTTAGTTCCCTGAGGGCCGCAGCCCTGCACAGAGTTTTACACCCCTGGTTTAAAGGGAGAGGTGACCCACAAATGACAAATTGCTATTAAAGGGATGAAAATGAAAGTTCTGTCATTTACTCACTATCCACTTGTTCCAAGCCTGTTTTGAGTTTTTTGTTTAAAAAAAAAAAAAAAAGAAGTTATTTTAAAGAATGTTGGAAATCAAATCTACCATAGCATTTTTGTTTTTTGTTCTATGGATAACTGTAACTATGTTTCCATCCAAAAATGTGAATTAACTATGTGCCAAACCGGATTATCGCATAAAAGATGTGCGAATAAAGCAGCATTTCCATCCAACGAGTCAAAGCGAACAAAATAGTCATTTCCTGATTAACTGGTGCCAATTATCAACTATAAAAGCTGAATTTGCTGCAGGAGGAGAATCTGCATCAATCTTTTCTTCATCTAATAAATGACTTGCGCCTCAGAAGGCAAGCCTGACACGCAGTGAACACACGGTGGTGTTTGAAGGTGTCAGATGCGGAGCTCAGACACTCTTGATTCTGGAGATCAATGATAATATAATAATACTAGTACTTAAACGGTAATGCTTTTTGGAATGACCAAAACAATGTTTCCGATGTTTTATAATGTGCTCAGCCTGCTGGTTTATCCATTCACACAAATTTTTCTTATAACAAAATTGCATGACCTTTTTTAATGCGCGTGCCAGAGTTTGTGCGGTAAAAGTGATTCCATCGTACTTTGTGTGCATCTTTTCTTATCGAATAAAAAGTTATAAAAAGTTTAAAAGTTAAAAAAATGTATGCGCATATGCAAATGCGCATAAAAATAGGTGGATGGAAACATAGCTAATCTCTAAGGTTTCCAACATTTTTCAGAAGAACTCCTCTTGCGTTTAACAGAAAGAAACTCCTTAAGGTTTTGAACCACTTTGAGAAAATGGTTTGTAAACTTTCATTCTTGGTTAAACTATTCCTTTTATTAATGTTAGTGTTTTTTTTTTTTTTTCTTTTGTAGAAAAATAAAATTGACCCAACAGCTTTAAAATTATATATCAAAAATCCTGACAACAAATGTTTTTATTACTTTACCTTCCTGTAATGGGTTAAACCGGTTTTAACAATATACAGTGCTTCCGGAAAGTATTCACAGCACTTTATATTACAGCCTTATTCTATATGGATAACATTCATTTATTTCCTCAATTCTACACACAAAAACGAAGCCTAAAAAATCACATGTACATAAGCATTCACAGCCTTTGCCGTGAATCTGCAAATTGAGCTCAGCTACATTTTGTTTCCACTGAGGCTGCTGAAACATCTCAAGAATGATCAGAGTTCACCTGTTGTAAATGAAGTTGATTAAACATGATTTGAAAAGGCATACACCTGTCTATATAAGGTCCTAGGGTTGACCGTGCATGTCAAAGCATTAACAAAGCATGAAGACAAAGAAATTGTCTTTAGATCTCTGAGACAGAATTGTCACAAGGCTGGGGAAGGTTACAGAAAATATTTTGCTGCTCTGAGCACAGTGGCCTCTCTCATCCGTAAGTGAAAGATGTTTGGAACCACCAGGACTCTTCCTGAGTGACCAGGGGAGAAGGACCTTAGTCAGGGAGGTGATCAATAACCTGATGGTCATTCTGTCTGAGCTCCAGCATTCTTTTGTGGAGAGAGAAAAACCTTAAAGAAGGAAAACCATCTGTGCAGCAATCCACTAATCAGGCCTGTATGGTAGAGTGGCCATATGGATGCCACTCCCCGCCTGGAAATTGCCAAAAGGCGTCTGAAGGACTCTCAGACCATCAGAAACAAAATTCTTTGCTCTGAGACTAAAATTGAACTCTTTGGAGTGAATGCCAGGTGTAACAGTTGGAGAAAACCAGGCACCGCTCATCACCAGGCTAACACCATCCCTACAGTGAAGCATGGTGGTGGCAGCATCATGCTGTGGGGATGTTTTTCAGCAGCAGGAACTGGAAGACTAGTCAGGATAGAGGGAAAGATGAAATCAACAATGTACAGAGACATCCTGAATAAAAACCTGCTACAGAATGCTCTTGACTTTAGACTGGGGCGACGGTTCATCTTCGAGCAGGACAATGACCCAAAGCACACTGCCAAAATATATATGGAGTGGCTTCACAACAATTCTGTGAATGTCCTTGAGTGCACCAGCCAGAGCCCAGACCTAAATCCTATTGAACATCTCTGTTATGATCTAAAAATGACTGTACACAGTCGCTTCCCATTCAACCTGGTAGAGCCTGAGTGAGAAGTACTGCAAAGAGGAATGGGCAAAAATTCTCAAAGACAGGTGTGCCAAGCTTGTGGCATCATATTCAAAAAGACTTGAAGCTGTAATTGCTGCCAAAGGTGCAAAAATCAAAGTATTGAGCAAAGGTTGTGAATACTTAAGTACATGTGAAATTTTTTTTTTTTTTTTTTTAATAAAATTTGCAACCATTTCGAAAACTTTTTTTTCACGTTCTGGGCTATTGTGTGTAGAATTTTGAGAAAATCAATTAATCCATTTTGGAATAAGGCTTAACTTAATAGTTTTTGTCTGTTTTATTGATGTAAGTTTAGGTGACTAAAGTTAATTTCGTTAAAAAAAATGTCTAGCAGGAAAAAGACATTAAGATGTAACAATATTAACTGTTAACTATTAACAATATTAAGCGTTCATGATCAACGTCACATTTGCCGTCTTGCTGATATTCAAGAAAAACTTAAACTAATAATAATTTCCTACTCATTTACTCACGTGGTTAAACATTGAATTTATTTTCTTTAGAGTTTATTGCCATTTACATTTATAGTAGGAACAAAAAAATACTATCGAGGTAGGGCTGCACAATTTAAGCATCGATATCGCAATGTGTACATCCGCAATGGTCACATCACAAAGATATGCAATGTCCAGTCTGAATTATAATTGACCAGAAGCTACAGAATTGTATTTAATCACTGTATTTATATGGAATTTATATGATCTATGCAAAAAAAACATTTCATTTTATATTTTTTGTCTTGTTTCTAGTCTAAATATCTACATTTCAAAAGTGAAAACAAGATTATTTCACTTACCCAATAGCAGATAATTTCCTTAAAACAATAAAAAAAAACTCTTAATTTTCACTACTTTCTTCTGATGGTGAAAACTACAATAGTTTTTAATATTTGGGCCAGAAACGCGACAGCGAGAAAATTTTTTTTTTTTCATTTTGATTATTACATTTCTAAGCCTGAATGCTGTTAGACTCTCCAGAAAACTGTCAAATAGAGCTATTGAAACTGTATTCATATTGCAATATTTATCTCAGAAAAATAAAATCACAATATCATATTTTTCCAATATTTTTTAGCCCTTTATGGAGGTCAGCATTATTAATAACAACAACTCTAACATTTTATAATAAAATATTTGATGCATTGTTCTTTAACTCAAAGCACTACAAGATGTATAACAACAACAAAGTACAACCCAAGCCAGAATTACAAGCTTGCATAAAATCCCAGTAGCAACCCAAAAGTCACACCACAATATGGCATTAAAGAAGCAAAAAGATTACAGACTGCATAAATATTACAGTGATAATCATAAATTAAATGCTTTTCAAAAAGAAAGAAGCTTCTTAAAACAATCCAGTGAAACGAGATTTCTAATAATTGCCTGAATGCATTCCATAATTTATATGAGCTGTAAGAAAATGCCCTGCCTCATGGTTTTTAACCTACAATGCTTTCCAACCTACACGGATAATATTTGCATTCATCATTTTTCATTACTCTGAATTCTTTTGGTGTCAAGTTATGTTTTAGTAGGGTTTCTTTTTTGCAAAAGTGCATAACACGCTTGCTAACATGAGCTCACATATCGCTACAGGAATCAGAATAATGTAATACATGAAAATTTCTTGTTTTAATTTGAGTGAACGGCTATAATTGTGTCTCATGAGAGGAGTGAATTTATTGAAAACGAAATAAGTAAACAAATTGAGGAAGTCTCTGAATGGTTTTGTCTTAATAAATTGTCTTTACATTTGGGTAAAACTGAATTTATTTTATTTGGTTCAGCTGCGAAATTAAGAAAATGTGTCGGGGCAAAGATAAAAGTAGGGGATCAAATTATTACTCCAAAACAGATAGTGAAATACTTAGGTTGCTTTTCAGATAGGAATTTGACTGGTGAAAAGATGGCTGTTATAGTCCATTCAAAAATTTGTTCTAGAATAAAGTTTTTAGCAAGACAGGCAGTGCTACAAGATACCCAAACTCAATTTTAGTTAGTGCATTAGTGCAGCCATACTTTGACTATGCTGCAGCTTTTTGGTACAGCGGTAGTTCTAAAAAGATGAAAAATAAATTGCAGACAGCCCAAAATAAGTTGTGTAGAATTATTATGAAAGTCCCCTCACTTACACATTTAAATAAGGAACATAGTCAAAGTAATTTTTTAAAAGTTGAGAAGAGGGTAAAGTTTTTAAAATTAGTGATGGTTTTTAAGATTTTAAAGAAAACGGTCCCAAAATATTTTCTTTATTATTATGTTTTAGTCAGTGAGGTGCACAGTCATTCTACTAGAGCACGCAGCAGGGATATTTACCCATATAGATTCAAGAGTGAATCAGGTAGAAATTCTTTGTGTACGAGCTCTGCTGCTTGGAATATTTTGCCTACCATTTTTAAAGAGATTCAAATGGAGAGTGTTTTTAGAAGGGAAATTAAAAAGTGGTTGTTTTAAAGTTGAAGTTTTCTTGTTGTGCCGAGTTGCTGAGCTGTTGATGTTTGCACTCCATTTATGATTTGCTCGTCCATTTTTTTAAGTATATCGAGGACAACAATGGAGATAAGCCTGTGGCTTTTTTGTGTATTTTATCCTCGACAGTTTTTAAAATATGTATGAATTAGTCTAACTATTTTTGGTAAAATTGTCAAATAAAATCAAATCAAACTTTACTTTTAATAACAAGTAGCAAAGAAGATATGCACTCAATCATTTATTAAATGGTAAAAACAATCATTTAGCCCAAAAGGTTGGTTTTTCTTTTCTCCTGATGTTTATTTAATAAATTGAGTGCGGACTGGTCATTTGAAGAAATTTGGTCACCGCACCAAACTTGAATTTTTGCATTTGATTATACTGTAATTTTAATATATTCATTTTTGCTGGCTGTTTGTTTTGAATCAGGACGAGGAGTCAGGCTGTATTATATTGGTGGGGAAGTGTTTGCTGAATGTCTTAGCGATAGCGCCATCTTTGTTCAGAGCCCGAACTGTAATCAGAGGTATGGCTGGCATCCTGCAACAGTCTGTAAAATCCCCCCAGGTAAGACGTTTGTATGTCACTAGTCTCATTCTTTGGAAGATTGAGATCACATCAGTTCTTTTATGATGTGTTGAAATCTTCTCCCTTAGGCTGTAACCTGAAGATCTTCAACAACCAGGAGTTTGCAGCATTGCTGGCTCAGTCGGTGAACCAGGGGTTCGAGGCTGTTTATCAGTTGACCAGGATGTGCACCATTCGCATGAGTTTTGTCAAAGGCTGGGGAGCAGAGTACAGGTGAGAACTGCCTCTCTAGCTATGGGTTTATCTAAAAATGCCAATTAGATTTATGCAAAACTGAAATAGTGCTTAAAACATTTGCAGATAAAGCACCGTTAATATCCGATAAGTCAAAGAGAACACTTTATAAACTGGAGCTAAATATCAAAACAAAAAGAGAGAGGCACTGCAGGCATTTTTGTTATGTAATGCATGACTACAAAATGACCTCAAAAGATCAAAACTAAACACGATCAACACTTTTTGGCTTTGGAGGTATAAGATGGCCTTTAAGAGCACAGCCACTCAATATGGTTTTGCAAGGCAATAACACCAAACCACTTTGACAGACTTTATCTAATGTGTTTTAGAATGAACAAAGCAATTAGGATGTTATGCAATGTTGTCAGACTGCTGGTTTGTTCATTTAATGCCATTCCATCAAGCCTAGTTTGTGTCGCATGATTTGTTAAAACAAAGACTTTTTTGATGCACTTGCTGGAATTTATTCAGTTAATCTGTTTGTATCAAGTATTTTTTTTTCTCATATAAAGATATTTCTACTCTGTATTTTCAAAATGTATGCGCGTCTTGACATTTCCGTTTACGAATTTCTATGCTAAATCCCAAAATAAAATAAGTGGATGGAAACCATTTGCAAAAAAAACTAAATAAATAAATGGTGTGAATGAGTTTATGCGTCTATCAGTACATTTGATATTGTATTTTGTAAAAATAACTCTTATTAGGTCTCAAATTGCATTGTTGAGATCAGAATTCACAATTTCTAAAGTAATATTGAAATGCCTTAAGTAAAACTAAACTTTTACAGATAATTTGAATGTATATTTCATACATCTGCTCTTAATAGATTGTTACTGTATTCAGAAGAAATAAGTTGTTGTGTCATTTATTCACTGGAATCAGTATTTTTGCAAGTGGTAATACCTTTGCTATATATTTCCAACGATCAAATTTAATCATACACATAATTGCAAATTTTTAGATAAACATCATGTCTGTTTAATTTAAGTGTTGAACTGACTTTGCTATGCGTGTTCATATAGCAGCCCCTACTGGACAGATGTGAATCTGCAAGTTAATCCACTTCTAATGTGAAATTATTGTCTAACTTTAAGTTTGATATTCAATGCTCATAACAGTTAAAAACTTTTCAAAGATTTTTTTTATATTATATTTTATAATTGGTTGGCTACAAATAATAAACAAACTCCAAAGATTTTTTTTTTTTTGCATAAATCAGATGAAAATAAAAATTAATTGTTACAACTTGCAAGAGTTTTAATTACAAATGAAAGCAATACTGTTCTCCGAACTTGTCATCTACATAAAACTAATTATAATTGAACTGTGCAAAAAAGTGAAATTGACAAAATACAGCCTAAAAACTCTCTTTTAAAAAAGTGTTGCTAAATAAGAATACTGTAAATAAGACCATCACTTTAACGCACTGTCAAGGCTATATCACTCCTAAAGCGAGTGAGCCAAGGCAAGTTGCGTTTCCACTGTCACTTCTGAGGCCTAATCGGAGAGGGGTTTTCTCGGGGCCAGCAGCCGGCCTTTTACGGCCCGCCAAAGAGGGCCAGCTGAGGCTTCGGGGCGGAGTGAAAGGAGAAGCAGACACTAGTTTTCTGATCGCACAGGAGTACATGCGCCAAACAAACAAATAAATAAATAAGGGAAAGAAAACATCTATCCTTATAGGCTAGGGGTACTTTTGCTTATGATCGCCCTTAAGTTTCCCATTTAAATTCAAGGTTTTTGCATAAAATAATAAAGTTTTCATTTATAAATGACATTCTTTGCTGCGTCCTTCTTGATGTTTCAATAACGAATAATAATCTTTACACCATATTAAAGACACAGCAGACAGTAAAGGTTTTTGAGAGTTTTTGGCAAGTTTAAAAGGTGTGTTTGTGCACGTTTAGATGCCTGTATGTGAATGTGAGACCAAGCAAAAGAGCGCTCCCCTCACAGCTCTGTTAATGCCGCGAGCAGCTTTTTTTCCTTTCATTTTTTCTTGGAGATGATACACAATATGAATACAAAAGAAATACATACAACTTAACAAATTTCGTGTCCACTTTTGTAGGCTCAAAACAATAGTCATATCTTTATAAAATAGCCTAAGGTATATTGAAATAATTTAAAGAATTACAAATATCAGATGTAACAAAATTGCAATAAATTAATAAACCAATATAAAACAAACAAATGCTAGCTATAACAGTTTAGGTATATACAATACATAAATCAAACTGTTTTAAAGTCATATTAAACTTTCATTTTACAAAGGCCCATCTTAAAAACGATTTTAGATATTTTCTAAAAACAATAAACACCGAGGAGGTTTGAAATATTATTTATAAAGTGTTTGGATATGATGATATTGTTTAAATCAGGCAAACAGAGCATTTTTGGGTGATCGAAAGTAGAAGCAACCTTTTTTTCCAATCTGCGCAGCGTCGCTTTTTTCAAATGCATCGGGGGAAAACTGCAAATACAAAATGTTTTCTGCGTCCTCAAACAAGTGTTTGTTTTTATATGATGAGGGAAAATTTAAAAATTAAATTTTAAATACATGAAGAGCTTTATTAGTGAAAAGCTGCTGATCGCAACGATATATAGGCTATATTTTATTACTTGCTCTTATGTGCTGAAATACTGAACACTTTCCTTAAGATCACATAATAATATGCAACATCTTTAAATAAAGGGGAATTAAGTGTCACCTATTACCTATGAACATATTCACCTATTAAGTGTCATATAGCCTATAAGAAAAAAGTCATATGTTTCAGGGCTCTCCGGAGCATTTGGGCGGAATGTTTGACAGCGTCTATCTAAATGAGGATGTTACAAAATACATTTTCTGCCGAGTTATTAATTGAGAATTTCTGTCGTATTGTATTATGGATGGCTCGCTCCCTGTGCTGGTGAGACCAGCAGTCCAGATGTTCCGTGCGTATAGACATATCATGTACTGCTGTACAGTAACGTGTCATTTCTTTCGGTTGTCTTTCATTTTAATGCTCTCGTGATGGTGTGCTTTATCTGCCTGATTCTCGCTGAAGTGGGCAGGTTGTGTGACGTTTGATTCAGGGGATGTTCTGGGGGCGGGGTTTGTTGTGACGCTACTAGCCCGACAGTGGAAAAGCGATGTGATTTCGGCATCACTGCTCAACTTCCTAGGCGATGGGCCTGGCCTGGCCCAATAAAAGTCCTGGCTCGCTCTTGCCCGACAGTGGAAATGCGGCTAATCAGAGAGTTTTTTTATTATTATTATTTGTTTTAATTTATTTTTTGTTTTTGTTTTTTGCATCGAAAAAATTATTTGAGAAGTGTTTTGACAGTTCAGAGCAATGACTGTAAAAAAAAATGTAAAAAAAAAAATGTAGACGTGAAAAAATCTAAAAAAAAATATTGACGACGAGCCGGAGGCGAAGCTGAGGAATCAAGCTTCCAACCAAATACTTGTACGTCAATATAAATATTGGACTGCCCGATAATCTTTTATACACTTTAGCCTAAATTAGCACAAAAAATATTGCTCTTATAACGGATTGTTGGTGTTTATTGTTGGTCTTCAAAGGGATAGAAAAATCACTTGTATAAACAATAACAAAAACATATAAACAACACGCACATTTTAGAAAGTTTTTTTTTTTTTATTATTGGCAATCAACAGGACCCAAAATATGCAAACCATAAATTACTATTTAACATGCGGGAAATATGGTGCATTTAAAAGATAAACACAGCAAGATTTCTAAATACCAACAGGATGTTTAACACATCCCATCCCTGCACTATATAAAATAATTTGCACAATAAACCTGGCAGTATTATACAATTAACTGATGTTTATATGATATAGGCCTATCAGCTGCTGAAACATCGCTTGTATATTGTTTAGCATTTTTTGCCTTTTCATTTGGTTTATTCCATGCCTTAATATCTGCCAAAAATATTTTTTACCTTTTATTTTAATGTTTAGTAGGAATTTTCAAATAAAAAGCTAATGGTAAATGGTGTATTTAAAACTCAGTGGATTAACTCAATAACATGCTCAAACTCCATGTCAGAAACGTCCTTTAATGTGGACATAGGAAAACAGTAGTTTTGTCTTGCTAATAATTATTTCAGACTCATAAAAAGAATTACTGCTTGATAACAATCACCTGTAATTTCCTCATCATTGCTAGGCATCAGCAAACTAATAATAAAGCCTAATAAAACCCTCACATTACCGAATAAACAGTGATCCCTCAGATCCTCTCTCATTTTATCTTGGTAAAATAAAACCGGTATCGAATAATAACACTTCAGTCTCCTTCCGAAGCTCTGACGGTCTGCTTAGAAGATGTCAATCATAACTGTCAATAATGATGACACTCAGTGTTTTTATAGGATTAAATTACTGGCTAAATGCATACCATTTACATCAAAGGAAGATCTGCACCTATATCAGCCTGATAACCAGTGCCTTGACAAATTGACTATAATAATTTTTCGGGAAGTTTTATTACAAATGTAACTTAATTTTTTATTTGGGCTCAAGTCTCATTCATTAACACGGAGAAGGCGGGCTTTATGACTTGAACTGCAGCCAGCCCCCAGGGGGAGATCTAACGGCTAGGAGCATCGCTTAAAAGCAGGCGCGTCACACTTGGTTTAGAGCTACCATTCAAGTAAAAGGGAAAATACAAGATGCTGTCATTTCAGCCACAAATAAAGGGGATAATATAAGACAGAATGTGGCGGACAGTTGAGAGTCCCTATGCTGGATTTACCTCTCCACTGCTGTTGTTTGGTGCATGTCTGTCCAGTTACGTACTGCCCATGTACAAATTGTGGAAATTCAATCCTTTGCTCTGTCAACGCGGCCACCATCTATTATAATGTCTGTAGGTTCTGCCAGTCTCTGTTTTGGTTTCGCTTATGTACGTAAATGTGTAAAGTATCACAAGCAATGTATCAAAATGCCACTGATTTCCTGAAATAGACTTAGCATTTTGGATTAATCCAGAGCAGCTCTTTGAAAAGGAGAATAACTCTCCTTCCTCTCTATGTAGTATTGGATGAACACAATATGTGGCTTATTCCTCTTTCTTTTTGTACTTTGGAGAATAGAGGAGAACAAGGCATCGCTGCTTGAATTGGCTCTGAAATCTTTTGTGTTTTTTTCGGAGTTGAATTAATATGCATCGTACTCAGTGTGCAAGGTTTTTGTATTTGACGAATTTTTCAGATATGAATACGAAAAATGCATACAAAAATTTCTGACTGCAGTGTGCAAAGACCTTTACTGTTGCGCAGCATGAGTGACCCATAATGTGAGGCATATGTGCCATAAATTTGCCTCAAAATCGTGTGAAGAAAAAAGGGTGCTTGAAAATACTAGTGTGGAAAGGACCTCGTCAGAAACCGTAATGCAACCTCTGACTCTTGTTGTATTTGTTTTTGCAGACGGCAGACAGTGACGAGCACCCCCTGCTGGATCGAGCTGCATCTGAACGGGCCCCTCCAGTGGCTGGACAAGGTTCTGACCCAGATGGGCTCTCCCTCCGTACGCTGCTCCAGTATGTCCTAAACCCAGCTCTCTGTACTCTGCCCACCCCAAAACAATCACATCAAGCGACAACTCGAAGAACAACAGACTTACGATGCCCCCCTCGCTCCTTTCTCTTTCATAGTACTCGTGAGCCTTTCTTCTATCCTCTTCTCTATCCTCTCGACACTGATGTTCGGACCCGAACGCAGCACTTGCTGTCTCATCAGCTTCATGCACCTTTGATTCTCTCTTGTTTTCTTTCATAAACCCTCAATATTAAATGTATTAGTAGTAGAATTTGAAATGTATATTGGTTTTTATTTGATTTTTACGGTTTTCGAGAAGGAGGGAAGGTGCGTATGTTGTGTGGAAGTTCAAGAAGGCAGTACATGACTTCACACACACGTGTAGCAGTAAGGCTTTCTCCCCCCCACCCCGATGAAGTAAATACTCGGATACGAACGACGCCGGTGCTCCCAATCCGCTCGTTCAAGGAGGTTACTTTTTCTGGCAAAAAGTTACGTTCTTTTTTTTATTTTATACACGTTATAATTGTGTAGATTGACGCGGTAAGACTTAATCATGGTTTTCAATTTTCTTCAGCAATGCCAAAAGACACTTTTTATTTTGCTTTATTTTTTATTTTGAACCATTTCTTCCCCCAAACCACTATATATATATATATATATATATATATATATATATATATATATATATATATATATATATATATATATATATAAATAAATAAAAGAATGTTGCCTTTGATTTGAGGTATGCTGCTGTAAGACATGCTTCTTTTATTCGAACTGATAGGAATGTTTAACGAGAAACGTTTAATTCGATCCTTCGGAATTAGCTATTTATTCACTGGGTGAAATCTCCGCTAGCCGTGGAGTGTTTTCGGAGTCTGGCTTCCTCAGAAAGTGGCTTTTAAGGATGAACGAAATTTCTTATTGTCTCGCGCAATACAAATCTTTCAACAAAATATAATAAACAAACAAATCCAAGTATTTAAGCTTTAAGTGTTAATAAACTAGGTTATCCTTCACACAATTACAAGATTGTTTTTCCCTTTATCTTTCTTTTAGCTACTTTTTGTATTTTCATGTATTTTTATATATAAATATATTTAAGATCTTTAAAGCTCTCTTCCTTTTTATTAGAATTGAATATTTTTTTAGATCATGCCCTCTTTTTAAAGGAACATGGCTTCATAATGAAATGTCCTATCATACGAAAATCATTATTTAGCATGAAATTTTTATAAGCGCAAATATCTTTTTGCTCCTCTTCCTCCGCTTTTTTCACGGTTACCGTTTCGCCCTGATCTCGATCCCTCTGAAATGCATCTGATTTTCTTTTTTAAGTTGCTTCGTTCACAATACTGTATAACCTACCTCCCCTTAAAAGTACAGTTACCAAAATGGGAAATTCAGCCTACGGTAACATTGCGGGTTTTATTTGTTTGCAATTGGGGAAAAAAAAATCGAAAAAAAGACTTCCAAACAGGTTGCTTTTACAGGGAGAACTGTGCAACTTTAGTGTGCGTGCTCGTTGTACAACTTTTACTAATGACTGTGATATAGCTGTCTGTTATTCTTTACTTGTTGTGGCAGTGACCAGGCGTTGCAAATATTCATTCCCTTCTTTCCACCTTTGTCTCCGTATTTTCCTTCATCCATCTTTACTACTCTTGCGATTGTACTTTAAGTGCATCTAGAAAAAAAAAAGCTGACAAAGATGTTGTGGCCCATTTTTAAAGCCGATAAGTGGCCAATAAGACACTGGGAACATTCTGTTTGCCATTATTATTATTATTTTTTTGACTGAGTGTGGAAAGAAAACCAAATAGAACTGAAAGTGGACCAGACATATATGCATATAAATGTGTATATATAATTTTATTTTACTTTTTTTTCTGTTATTTTTTTCTCCTTTTTTTTTTGCAAAGCATTTAACAGTTGGTGAGCTTGTTTTACCATTAGAGAGATGTATTGGTAGGACGTGAACTTCAGGCGATAAGCTTTTCAGGCGTGTTGCATATGCAGACTTCATAAATACACTAATAAAAGTTTTAATTCTCATGTTAATGCCTGTCTTTCTCTCTTTTTTTTCTTGTTTTGTACAAATCCTATCAAAATGGTGTGTATGTGGGTTTCTCGTGAAAGCTTGTCTCCACCATGGAATAATAAAAAGTCATTTTTATTTTGTGGGCTTTTCTTGAAATTGCTTGTTTTGAATCTTGCCATTTTTAAATCGATGTAAACTCTATATTTGAGTGTAAATTCTGGGAAACAAACTCGTGCGTAATTGTAAACCCCAAACTTAGTCAGTTGAGGATGAAAAAAAAATTATGGAAAAGTCTCAGTATTGTCTTCTTATATAAAATCTTGCAATTCTGATTTCTTGGGTAATTTCTTCTGATTTCTTGGGATTTCTTGAAAACCGGCTTTAATGGATAAATTAATTCAAATTATATATGCTTTTTTTCAGACCACTATACTAAAAGTACATTAATAAGACCATTTAGTGGGGCAAAATGGCATGTTGTGAAAATTATGCCTCTAATGTTGCAGGCCTATAGCCAGTGTTGTGAAAGGGTTGGTTCTTTTTTTCTTAAAAAGTGGTCCAATTATTTTGGAGATTTAAATGATTTCATTGACATTTAGTCATTATTGACATCACTATTTTTAGCTGGATTAGCTTGTCAGGTGGTCATCATGACCACACTTTTTGATGATTGAGAACATTGATTTTAAACTCAATTCCTCGAGGGCTGCACCTCTGCACAGTTGTCCTCCGACACTAATCAAACACAGCTGATGCATCTAATCACGGTTGATTTTTGAATTTGTATTTGTGTTTTTATTTATTTATTTGTCTATTTATTTATTTATTTACTTATTTTTGGATCAGCCATGTTTGATTGGGTTACAGAACAACTGTGCAGTGCCTTCCAGGAATTGATTTTGAGAACTATGATTTTAAATGAAAATTTATTGAAGATATTTTTTTTAAATACAACTTTATTACAACATATATCATTAGAAAAAAACATAATAATGTAGATCTTCAGAATTTTTCTAGACTCTATTGTAAAAAAAAAAAAAAAAAGGTATATTTGAAAGTTCATGGATAACAACAATAGCAAAATAGTTTTCAAATTAATTTTAATATGGGCTGCTTTTGGTGCTTCACACCTTTTTACTAGTCATTTTTTTGTTTTTTTTTTGTTTCAAGAATAAGCTCCAAGATTTACAGTACAAGTTACTTGTAAAATATTTAGTATATTTAACAACAGTAAAGTAGGTCAGTAGTAACAGATGACATCACTTATGACGGATTTTGTTTTCTTGCACAGCTGGATGATGACTTATGAAAAGTAATTGTTTGCATTGGCCAAAACTAAATGTTTGAAGTCACACCGAAGCAATAACTAATAAAAGGATTCTGCTTCTCTTTTTCGATTACTTATTTTCACAATTTATGATGGCATAGCAGTCAAAATAGGACAAATGAGCTTATGTTTGTATAGGACAAATTCTGGACGTTTGTCAGTAAGGGATAACGAATGTCCCCCCTGACTCCCTGGGTACGAGCCTGTGTGGGTCAGTCTTCATTTTTATAAGAGTTTATATTTTAACATTTGTTTTACAAGCATCAAATGTGGGTCCAGATTTCTGTGTTTAAATATGCTGAATGATCATTTATAGCCCAAACAAGGATTTATTTTTATGTGCGAGTGTGTATATTAACAATTAACCTAACTACATTGTACAGTACACATTGTGAAATGTGGATATGTGATGTACAGAACTGTAAACTTTCATTGTATGACATGTTTGTGGTTGTTAGAGGTACATTTTCAACATCTTTAAGATTTATCTTTTAGCATACATCAGGGTTGTTTAAAACTGCTTGTGGAGTGCAGGGTTTAGCACAAACATACCATACCTCCCTGGAAGTTCCAAGTATTCTTGAAGATTTTAATTAGCTAGATTCTGTTTTTTTATTTTAGGGTTGGAGTGAAACTCTGTAGGATTGTACACCTCTGGAATAGACTAAATGGGTGGATTCATTCAGCCATTCATATTCTATAGCTCTGGTGCCTAGATCTGCTCCACTGTTCTGCAGGGTTTATCTTCAAGATGAATTAAGTGCACAATAACCAGTTAATCAGGGTCTGAAGACTTCCAAGACAGGGTTTTGGTACTGGGTGAGAGGCAAAATCAGCAAGACATTAGCCCTACAGGAGCAGGATTGAACACCCTTACCTAGACTAAGGCTCCAGCCAAAATTGCATGCCATCTTGCGGGAGTAATTAATTAGTGACCCCTTAAAAATATGTTCTAATTAATATAATAGTGTTTGAATGTAATCTGGACATACCATATTTGACATTTGCATGTGACTTACCAGTACCAGGCGTATGCTATTCTTATATTCTTTTCACTGGCATCATGGGATGTCAATAGGATCTATTAGTGGCATCCAGGTACATTTTGCCTACCCTTATGAATACTCTAGATTTGAACAAGCTTCTGTGTTTGGTTGGTTTTATTCTGATGTTGGATGCAGCCTAGTTTTGTAATAACCCTTAGACCTAGTTTAGCTTGTTCGGGTATGTTTAAGAGGGCCTTGACTCTCCAGGACTAAACTCACCAACCCCCCTGGCACTCCTGTATTAGTCATTAAAACATGTGTTCTTTCTTTGACCACCAGAGGGTGCCAGAGCTTTAATAAAGAATGCTTGTGCATGTGTTGACAGTTCAGCTGCCCATCAAACATCTGGTGGTATGCTCTTGTTTGCTTCATTTAAGTACATAATGATGTTAAGTAAGGTTGTTTGATCTTCTTTTCGAAGTGCAACTGCTCTCCATTGTTCAGCTCCTAACTTTTTTTTTTTTTCTGATATTGGATGCAGCCTAGTTTTGTAATAACCCTTAGACCTTGTTTAGCTTGTTCGGGTATGTTTAACAGGGCCTTGACTCTACAGGACTAAACTCACCAACCCCCCTGGCACTCCTGTATTAGTCATTGAAACATGTTTTCTTTCTTTGACCACCAGGGGGTGCCAGAGCTTCAATAAAGAATGCTTGTGCATATGTTGACAGTTCAACTGCCCATCAAACATCTGTTGGTATGCTCTTGTTTGCTTCATTTAACTACATAATGATGTTAAGTAAGGTTGTTTGATCTTTTTTTCGAAGTGCTACTGCTCTCCATCGTTCAGCTCCTAACTCTAATAAAACACCTGAACGCAGTGTATTTCAGTAAATGTTATAAGTCACTGGCCTTTCAGAAGCAGGTTTTAATATAAAACACAAAGACCTATAACTGCTAATATGTATATCCACTGGAAAAAGTGATAAATTTCTCTAATATCTCTAGCGAAAGTGTTTAAGCCATCTCACTCTGAATCAACGTCCTTACCGATGGTTGGGTCTATGGGGGCCTTGATGTTAGGCAGGACCACATAGATCCAATCAAGTTGCTAAAAGCTCTGAGATGTATCACAGCATTCGTTAATCATTTCTCTCCTGTTAAAACCCCTCTTCATAGTCAGGATAGGCACTAAGTGGTTTCTCCAAGTTTCACCGTAATAGTTCATAATTTATGTAGCATTCGGTCTTGAAGTTGCATCTGGTTTGGCAGCATTTCACGGTGTAAACCCTGGCGGCTCATTAATGTGCACCAGAAAAACATTTCCCAAAAATGTATATTTATTTACAAACTGACTTACTGGAAATGTCTTCTGAATAGGCCTATTGGGTTTGCAACTTGTTTGATTTGAATAGGCATACAATTGGAGGATGCAGTCAATGTAGTATTGAAACAATGGAGGTCGTTTATTTTACATTTTTGCATTTGGCAGACTCTTATGATCCTGAGTTTCTGTGTGTTCAAGGTATATGTTTTATCATATATGCTTTTCCAGTTAATCGAACCCATGGTCACTTCCATGCAGAGTTCAGCTGGCTTTGTGTTAAGTTTAACCTGGAGGGGCCAGGGTCATGCAGAGTTTAGCGCCGACCCTAAACAAACTTTTTTACTGAGTACATTGAAACTTCTAGGCAGGTGTGTTGAGGCAAGTTGAAGTAAACTCTGCAGGCACCAGTCCATGTTTGGTGACCCCTGATCCATAATGTCAGCATAACTCTGATTTTATTTGTTGCAACCTTGGAAAGGAAAATCAGACAATGGTAAGGTTGTGGGTTTGATTCCCTATTAGTACCATTATCTTATGATTAAGCTGCAAGATCTAGGTATTCAAGGTTAAACAATTAGGTCTAACTATCAAAAATGTAAGCATCTTAATGTTTTCCTTTTTGGTATTTGTCCATGTCAATGCAAGCCAATGTCATGGGTTCAATACCTATGGAAAGCCTGACAACACTATAACGTGTCATTCATTCCCTTGAAATTAAATCCAGGATCTTGCTGTTGTTTGCGCTGTTTTGCTATTCGAGATACAGGAAGGCCATTTTTCACTTAACCTCTATCCATAATGTAAGTATGAGACTGTTTTCCATTCTTGGGCCAGCCGCTCTGAGCCTTCTTGGGTCTCTTCATTCACATGATTGGTTAACTGTGAGATTTCTTTGCATATAATACCTTACCGACCCTCACAATACCTCCACCATCTTGTGCTATTTTGCATGAATCACTCAAGAGTAGACCTATTGTTAAATTTGGCCATAGGGAAAGAGCAATCATGTATAAGTTATGGCCAGCTAATTAAAACATCACCCTAACCTATACTTGACCCTGACTCTTTTACAATGCGCTCTACGGATTCTTTTGTGTACTGCCCTCTGACTTGTCCAGTGTGAAGTGTTGGATGTCTTCTGAAGTCTTATTCCTGATACTCTGGCAAAGGTCTGCAGCGGTAACTGGAGCACAAGGGCCCTGCAAAGAATTAATTAGCCTCAAATGAGTTTTTCCAGCCATGGTAAGCACTGACAATGACCAAGATATACAGGACATCGAAGGGGTCAGATAGTCTTCGGAGAAGTGACCCCCGAGAGACCTTAGAATGAAGGGGTGATAGAGTGGTCAAATGGAAAATTTACCCAGAAATTACAATTCT